TTGGTAAATTCTCAAATCCTCAAATATCGAACAAAGAACTCTTAAGAAAAAAGGAGAGCCAAGCCCCTCCTCAAAGGCAGTCAAAAATGACTAAGACTCCAAAGGAGTCGAGCCTCGATTAAGGGGAGGCGCACTTTGTTCGAGGGGAGGTGTTGGATGATGGAAGTCCCACATCGACTAATTTAGGGTGTGATCATGGGTTTATAAGTGAGGAATACTAACTCCATTGGTGTGAGACCTTTTGGGGAAGCCCAAAGCAAAGCTCTATACTCAAAGTAGACAATATCATACTATTGTGGAGAGTTGTGTTCGTCTAACAGTCCAAAGCCGTAGCGATATTCACCTCTTTTGGTCTTAATGGTAGAATAAGACAAACTCTTTTGGTCTTAATGGTAGAATAAGACAAAAATCACTAAACCGAACCGTTTAAACCGACCTAATAGTTGCAAGAAACAATATCACGATCAAATTAATCAAAATCGATAAAAAATAAATATACATTTTATACTTCTAAAATTACAAGAACCAAATTGCAAACACGACCGAGATTAAAATTAACCACAATAAAAAATTTAAGCCGTAGCGATATTCACCTCTTTTGGTCTTAATGGTAGAATAAGACAAAAATCACTAAACCGAACCGTTTAAACCGACCTAATAGTTGCAAGAAACAATATCACGATCAAATTAATCAAAATCGATAAAAAATAAATATACATTTTATACTTCTAAAATTACAAGAACCAAATTGCAAACACGACCGAGATTAAAATTAACCACAATAAAAAATTTAAATATCGAAACTAAAAGAATTATCGTTGTCCCCATTTTTAAGAAATATCGATCAAAATTGTTAAGAATAAGAAATAGAATTGAGATCGAATGCACAACAAATGAATCAAAATTCCAATTTTCATTAATGTTCACAACGTTTAAATAAAATACAAACTACCAACTAATATCGAAAATATAAACTGACTAAATCTTGAGAATAAAATAAAATATACTAGTAACCAAATCATAAATATAAAAATATTAACTCGAGAACAAACATTAAAATAAAATTCATATAAAATAAAAAATTTAGTTTTTTTTTTAATTATTAAAAAAATATTTGTCGAACTAAAAAAAGAAATATATATATTTTTTTCATTAAATTTTGTTGTCATTCCCCAAACAAAAAGGTTATTTATTTTCTGACTAACTTTTTATTTATTTAAAAACTTTCCAAATCAAATAGTGGGCCCAGATACACTTGTCATTAACGGTCATCAAACGGAACCGGCCGGTCCGGTTCAATAATTCGCACCATTTAATACGTCAAAAAAACAAACGAACGATCCGGCCGGTCCAAATGGATTGGCTAAACGATTTCCTTCTCTTCTTCTACACCTTCATTCACCCATAACCTTTGTTCTTTTCTGCTCCAATCTCCTCAACAATGGCGTCTCTACAAGAATTGCTCACTCGAGAAGGCTTCGAGGGGGAAAATTTCTCCAATAATCGGAAGCCCTTGAGGCCCAATGGAGGAGGAGGAGGAAGAAGAAGAAGAAGAAGAACAGTTTCAGATGGCTCTGTTACTCTGCCCATTTACATATGCCATGATAAGAAAATCATCGATTCTTCAAAGAAGAAGCTCGATAAAGCTCTTGTGCGAAATGGGTCTTCGGTATATTCATCGAAACGAGTGGGTTCGGTTTCCGAGACCTCGCTCTGTAAATCAATGGAGGGTTCTAAAGTGGAGGAGCCCGCCATTGATGGAATTGCTATTAGAGCTGTGGTTTCGGTTCTTAGTGGGTATGTGGGTCGGTACTTAAAGGATGAGAGTTTTAGGGAAATGGTGAGAAAAAAGTGTAAATCGTGTGGGATTTGCGGCAATTTGGAGATGGGTATGAAGAGTGTTGATAGATTAGTTGAAGAACGTTATGGAAATGAACAGGAATTGAGAGTTAAAGCTTCGAGGAATTCCATTGGGCTTCTGAATATGGTGATTTCCGCAACAAAAACGATGAAAAATGGTACTCGTTCTCATCTCTCTGCTTGTGCTCTGCTTTACTTAGCGATTGTTTATAAGATAGAGAAGAACGAGAAGGTTTCTGCTAAGCATGTTCTTCAATTGTTCTGTGATTATCCATTTTTTGCTCGAACCTATTTGCTTCCTGAGCTTTGGGAGCATTTTTTTCTCCCCCATCTTCTCCATTTGAAGGTTTGGTACAATCAGGAGCTTGAATTTGTGTCTAATTTGGATTATGAACATAAGAACAGGACAATCAAGGCGTTGAGTAAGGTCTATAATGAGTATATGGATATGGGAACTGCTCAATTTGCAGTGTATTATGTACAATGGCTCAAAGATGGAGCCAAAGCTCCTCCTGTTCCTGTGGTGTCTTTACCTTCAAAATCCATCAGTGGAATGTCGAGAAGGTCGTCGGATTCGTACTTCTCGCAGTCGTCGTCGTCGAATAAGAACCTGTAAGTTCATCAAGGTTATGTTTCTTTGCATTATTTGAAGTTATAGATCCATTTGAATAATGATTTGATGCGTTTTGTTTTATGTTGCTATGGTGATGAAAATAGATATCATGCTGTTTTTGGTCCAAGTCTTGACCAGCAATTGGCTGAGTTGAGGACTGCAGCTAAGGCAAGGAGTTCAAACGAAAAAAGTGTTCCTGTTCATGTCTGTAACTCTATCTCCATTTTCAAAATCAAACCATTTTGTTGATTTCGTTAAGAAAATCGTCTGAACTATCTTTGTTGGCTTCGATATTGTTTATGCAGGACGAACCTAGCAACGGTATATCGTCGTCCATTCTCTGTTACAAAACTCATAACACAGACTCATGGCGTGAGACCGTGAAGTCTGACTATTTTAGCTTCTTCACATGTCAGAACATAACAAAAGAACACTCGGAAAGTAGTAATATAGTTGCGAAAAACGCTATCCGAGTGGAAGGACGAAACCATAATCTTTCTAGTGTTGTGAACAGGGCCATAGCTACAATCTGCTCATCGGATATTTTAAATGACTGTGAGATAGCTGTTCGTGTCGTAACGAAAGCTTGGTTGGATGCTCACGGTGACGCTGCCATTGAGGCTGTGTTGTCGAAGCCACTGGTCGTTGAGGGAATGCTAGAGGTTCTGTTAGCTTCCAATGATGATGAGATTTTAGAATTAGTGATCTCAGTTTTAGCTGAACTTGCTGCAAAGAATGAGATTATTAGACAGATTATATTGAGTTCTGATCCACAGCTACAAGTTTTTCTTAAACTCTTGAAAAGTAGTAGTTTATTTCTTAAAGCATCAATTGTTCTTTACTTATCAAAGCCACAAGCAAAGCAAATGGTTTCTGTTGAATGGTTACCTCTAGTTCTTAGAGTATTAGAGTTTGGAGGTCAATTACAAACGTTATTCTCGGTTCGGTGCACGCCACATGAAGCAGCTTTTTACCTTTTAGATCAACTTCTTAAAGGGTTTGATGAAGATAGAAACTTAGAGAATTGTAGACATTTGATTGCTCTTGGTGGATTAAGTTTGCTGCTAAGAAGGTTGGAGGAAGGTGAGATTGAAGAACGAAAGAATTCCGTTTCGATAATCATGTGTTGTATTCGAGCTGATGGGAGCTGTCGAAACTACCTGGCCGAGAATATGAACAAAGCTTCACTTCTTGAACTTATTGTTCATGAAAGCAACACAAACTCTGATAGGTGTGGTCTGGCTTTGCTTGTAGATCTACTCTGTCTTAGTCGGTATGGAACGTTTTTTTGTTCTTCTTGCTTTTTTGTTGCATTATAGTAGCTTACTCGTTAACCGAGCTTCTCGAATACAGAAGAGCAAGGATCAGTAGACTCTTGGATGGACTTAAAGATGGATGGAATGGCTTGAGCATCATGAACGTTTTGTCGATCTACCTTCAACGAGCTCGGCCTGAGGAACAGCCTTTAGTTGCAACAATACTATTGCAGCTTGATTTCATGGTAACGTGGTCTCTTTGACAAGCAAATAGAACACCTGTGACTGACTGTTCATCAGTGATTGCTTTTAAATACTTTGAAATTGAATGGTTCCCACATGAAGTTGCAGTTCCATTGCAGGAAGACCCTCTCAACTGCACCATATTCCGGGAAGAGGCCATCGTGACTATAATAACGTCCTTGAACGCTCGAATATCTCGTGAAAAAACACGGGAGAATTTGGCGAGAGCTCTCTTGATTTTGGGAGGTCGGTTTTCGTGTACCGGAGAACCAACTATAGAAAACTGGCTATTACAACAAGCAGGTTTCAAAGAGAGCTCTGGTGATTCATTCCATAGCAAGCACATGTACGACGATTTCGTGCAGTCGGTAAGCTTCGTCTCGAAATTTCTTAGACTCTGTTATCTTTACTCGAAAACGATTCGCTTATTTATTTAATAATTTTGCATCACTTCAAAACTCAAATGGTTAGTATGAAGAGGAAGAGGAAGTGGTGAATTGGCAGCTGAAAGCAGCTACTGTGTTTTTCAACCATGGACATAAGAGTTTACTGTCTGCGCTTTCGACGTCGATGACGAGTTGTATCCCGAGTCTAGCAAAAGCATGTCTTGTCATGGTTTCATGGATGAGCAAATACCTGTTTGTTGTTACTGACGACAAGCTATGTTTGATGGCACCCTCAATTCTAGTACCGCCATTGATAAAATACTTGAATTATGACAAAGATGTCGAGGACCGAGTACTCGCATCGTATTCTTTGCTTAATCTGAGCAAGTATACAGGTAAGAGTTCTTTCACTCTACATTTTCAGTCAAGTATAACACCAAACATCCTCATTGTTCTTTTGTTTCGTATAGAATGCAAGCATATCTTTCGATTGTTCGATGAAGAAGCTCTCGAGCATCTTCGAAACCTTTCTTTAGTGACATGGACAGCTGAAGAACTCATTTCGATCGTTGAAATGAGTGGATCGACACATCAGTATACTGAAACAAGCTCAAGAACATGATTCAGGTTTTTTCTTTTTTGCTGGTTGAATCCATTTCCTGCTCATAATGATTCAGGTTTCTGTGTTTGTTTGATTGTTATGTTTCAAGGTTTTACGTGTAATTTGGTGTTAAATTTGTGAGTTCTAGACGTTTTGTACATAGGAAAGTGTAAAGAAAAAGGCATTGTTAATGTGTTGTTTTGGAGTAAGGCAAGCATTAGGTGATGTTGCTTTCAGAATTTGGTGGGAAGTTTCTATCAGTGTCTTCTGATAAATGGGGTGAGGATGCATTATGAGGGAGAGGCAAGTGTAAGTGGGGACGATGTCTTGTTGGATGCTCATGTGTGAGATTCTACGTCAGTTGGAGAGAGGAACGAAACATTCTTTTATAAGGGTGTGGAAATCTCTTCCTATCAGATGCGTTTTATAAGTGTGAGGTTGATGACGATACGTAATGTGCCTAAGTGGACAATATTTGCTAGTGGTGGGTTTGAGCTGTTACAAATGGTGTCAGAACTAGACACTGAGTGGTGTGCTAGCGTGGACGTTGGGCCCATAAGGGGGGTGGATTGTGAGATCCCCCATTGGTTGGAGAGGGGAATGAAACATTCTTTATAAGAGTGTGGAAAACTCTCCCTGTCAAACACGTTTTAAAACTGTGAGACTGATGATGATACGTAACATGCCAAAGCGGAAAATTTGCTAGCGGTAGGCTTAGGTTGTTCAAATGATATCAGAACTAGACATCGAGTGGTGTGTCAACGAGAACGCTGGGTCCCCAAGGGGGGTGGATTGTGAGATCCTCACTGCAGTTGAAGAGGGGAACGAAACATTCTTTATAAGGGTGTGGAAACCTCTCCCTATCAGATGTGTTTTATAACTGTGAGGCGACGATACGTAATGTGCCTAAGTGGACAATATTTGCTAGTGGTGGGTTTGGGCTGTTACAAATGGTGTCAGAACTAGACACTAAGTGGTGTGCTAGCGAGGACGTTGGACCCACAAGGGGAGTGGATTGTGAGATCCCCCATTGGTTGGAGAGGGGAATAAAACATTCCTTATAAGGGTGTGGAAAGCTCTCCCTATTAGATACGTTTTGAAATTGTGAGGCTGATGATGCTACGTAACATGCCAAAACGGAAAATATTGGCTAGCGGTAGACTTAGATTGCTACAAATGATATTAGAACTAGATATCGAGTGGTGTGCCAACGAAAATACTGGGTCCCCAAGGGGGGTGGATTATGAGATCCCCACGTTGATTTGGAGAGGGGAACGAAACATTCATTATAAGGGTGTAGAAATCTCTGCTTATCAGATGTGTTTTAAAACTGTGAGGCTGACGACGATCATAATGGGCCAAACGGACAATATTTGCTAGCAGTGGATTTAAACGACTACACTCGAGTGTTTTTTTTTTCTTCCTATTGAAGCTTATGGCCCCCAAGTCTTCGCATCTTGGGTAGTGCCACGTTTTGCACATCTCTAGACGTGTTTGAGATCAAGATGACTTTTGAGAGCAGTGTTTTTAGGCGAAGTTTTTTTCTTTTTATTTATGTGCTTTTAGTGCACCATATCGTTAGAGGTATAGCGGTGTTTTCGCTTAGTGTGGCCTACAAAAGGAGAAGAAATTGTATACCAATGTGGTACAAAGATTTTGTGTAACGACCTATGTCTAGGATCTGGAATCCGGATACGGCACCTAATGGTTCCGACATTCCCTTGTCTCCTACGATATGGTCACGTTACCTACTCCTTACTTCTTAAGAGTGAAGGCCATCAAAGACTATCTCCACAGATCAAACACACGTTACCTACTCCTCTCTTCTTAAGAGTGAAGACTATTGAAGACTATTCTCATCGACCAACACGAGTCTTTCTAGAATACTTTGTCCTCACTCACATGCATCCTCGAAAAATTTCTAGGAGGTCACCCAATATAAAATTATGCAAAATAAAACATGTAAACCATGGAGTTTCTATGATTGAACCACTGAAAATAAAAGTGCATCTTATTGATATAGATATCAACTTTCATTTCCTTTACAACTTTCTTAGTCATCCTATCTTTAGGATCACTCTTATTCATATGTCGGCTCGGTTCATTCATGTATCCTTCCTTTACTCGGGTATCACATTGAGTAGAACAAAAATGAAGAGTACAAGAAAAAACTTATCTTTTATAGGGTTTCTTACATTTCTTCGACAAAATAAAATGAATTGAACAAAGGTACCACTAGTCAAGGGCATGTATGACGCGTGCCCCCTTAGAGAGATTGACCTCATGCCGAGGCCGAGGGATTGGATTAAGCTCAAATCCTTCTCTTCTTCTTTACCTCATGACCTGATCCATCTATATTGATCCTCGTAATTGGAGTTTGTTCTATTCTAACATCATTGCCTTTTGCAATACCCTCCAAAAACATCTTTTCGAGCGATAATTTCATCATAACACATCAACAAAAGTTAGATTTGTTTCTTTTTTTTTAATTAAATCCTTTTCGTAAGAATCACTTTTTCAAAAAAAGAAAAAGGAAGCTGAGCTAACTTTTCATTCTAGGTACGTTACACGACAAAATCTTTCTGATTATAACAAAAGGAAAGAATGAAATCTAACGACCAACACGAAAAGACACCGAAACATATATGTTTTGTGTCGAATCATTTCGAATAAACGTTTTGGAATTGCAATGAAAAATGTAGAAGAAATAATAAGGTAAGGAAGAAAGTTCCAAGTTGGCGTTGCATTATTTATTTCATGTTGAGAAGATGAGGCCATGTTGAAGTGTATGATTATAAAGACAATAGAAAGCTATTAGCTTTGCCAACCAAAACAAAACAAACCAAAACCCACCACACTTTGTCCTATGCAACCAACCGAACTAAACCAACCCGGTTCGGTCAAAAATTACTTTCGGTTCCTAAACTTAGCCGGAAGTAACAATTTAGTCCATGAACTCTGGTCTGCAACGATTTAGTTTATGTATTTTCAATTTTGTTATAATTTAGTCTACTTAATGTGAAAATTAGTGTTGAAATTTAACGGAATTTTTTTATATAGGTAGATTAATAAACGAACACGGGACTCAAGGTGTTTATAAGCTACCGAGTCTAAATTCTTTTAAAAAATGCTAAATTAATAAAAATATCTTTCAGCTTTGCATTTTATTTTTAAAATATTCCTTAACTATCAAAATTTTCAATAATACCTTCAAACTTTCAAAAATGTCTAAAAAAATACTCCTAAATTTTCAAAAAATTCAACAAAATTTTCAATAGTACCCTCAAACTTTCAAAAAATTCTAAAAAAAAAAAAAAAAATACTCTTATTGTAACATATGGAAACCGTTTTTCAAAAATAGCTTCGAACTTTCAAGAGCGTTTTAAGAATACCCTTTAACTTTCAAAAGTGTTTTAAAAATATCCTAAAGTTTTCGAAAGTTTCGTTAATGCCCTTAAACTTTTATAAGAACTTCAAAAACACCTTCAAATTCTTTTAAAAAATTAAAAAATTTTCTAGTACGACATTTAAAAAATACTCATAAATTTTCGTTCATATATTGATAATAAAAAAAATTTTGAACATTTTTTTTTATATAAAGATAAAAGGTGTTAATTCTACTTTTAAAATTTAATGGATATAATCTATAAGGTGTCCAGATAAGTTTGTATGGATATTTTTTAAAAAAATTTGAAGAGTATTTGTAACACGGGAGGTTGGATGAGAAATTTAAAACTTGGTTTTTTTCGTTTAAAAAGTCAAACTTCTGGGATTTTATTGAGAATGTAGAGGGCCACATTTCGAAAAATATAAACAAAAATCGTGAAAATTTTAAAAATTAGTCAACATCAACCTCGAGGGGATAAATCATTCATTTTGTAAGGATCGGGCTGACTCAATGACTCCAAATAGATGGATAAATTCTTGCAAAGTAAGGCAAATCAAATTTAAAACATAAAATACACTATATTTATTTATAACAAAATAAAATTTGTACCGAATATTTAAAACACAACACAATAGGTAAAACATAAAATAAGGAATGACATAAATTTTAACACAAAAAGGGTTGAAGAGGTGAGGTTTGTCTATAGTACCGGCTCCAAAATTCGCTCCCGACTTCGACCAGCTCCTTCTTACCTGAAAAAAAATGGAAAATAAGGAATGAGTACAAAGATTCAGTAAGTAACCTACTTGTAAGTTCTTAATCATGTCCATGATATGTTAGGGTACCACACACTTTTTTTTTTTTTTTTCTTGTTCTTGTTCTTGTCGTAAGTACTTAGTGTTAGTGTTACTATAACACGTGCGGAAGCAATTTGGATATTAGGCACTCTAAGTACATCAATTATAGTAAATTAGCTAGCATGTTCAAAAGCATTAAAGCTCAATGAGTTTGAATACTAACATTTTATAGTTCAAATTCCTTTTTCCTCACGAACCGGTTTCGAACCACCGCTAGTGTCTTCCTTACTATTCTCTGGCCTTAGACGGGATTGTGAAATCGGGTGAGTGACTAACCTTGATAGGAATTTAGTATGCGTAAAAAGAAAGTTTTGAGAGATTTTCTCATCACTCTATTTATAGAGTCATATTTGCATGTTCATACAAATTTGAGATTACCAAATTTTGACACTCAAATTTGTGGGATTATGCTGCAAACAGACACTTTTAACTCAAACATGGATGGAGTGAAGTCAACATTTTGACTTTCTTTATTTTAATTCAACAATTAATTTAAATAATTCATATCAAATCAAAACAATATTAAATGATTAATTAAACAACTTAATTAATATTTAACATTAAATCAAATGTCAATCCCAATCAATTCCCGCACATATTGATTATGAATCACTATTCATAATTAAAATATTTAAATCTTATTTAAATATCTTCAATTTTATCTTTTTGTTTAATTCATAATTAAAACAAAATGCGGTTAAATATATCATATATATTTAGCGTGTATTCCCTAATTTGAATTCGAACACTTCGAATTCACTCGTCACACTGTTCTAAGGTTTAGTTCGATATGAGCTAGCAGAGGAACCTATTGGACCTACAGATCATGGGCTCCAACGATCCAAGATTAACTAGCTAAACTCATTAACCTTGTTAACCAACCTTCATTAACTACTAGGACACTCCACTATAGCCTAGTAGTTGCATTCTCCTCACTATAGATATATTTTTGTCCATTTTATATAACCATGATTAGTAAGTCGATCTTTCACCGGTTGTTCGTAACTAGAGCTGGGTCAATTTACCGTTTACCCCTAAAGTTACTTCTTATTCCTTAAGTCCCACGGATCCTCTAATGAACAATTGGTTTGTGGTCCAACCACCAAACCGAATCCCTCTCGGGCCAATGAGAGGGTGGGGCCCCTTGTTCAAGACTTGGAGTCAGTACTTAAGGGAACAACCTCTCTACTATCCCTAAAAGTGGGTAGGAGTGAATTCCATCTTACACCCTATATCCCTAGCTATTCACCTAGTCTTACCCTAAAATGGGAGGCTTATTGAGTCGGCGAACTCAGGTTACTCTTACCCATGCAAATTTAAGGATAATTTCCAATAAACAGAAGTTCATAGTTAGCTCAGAATTAAGATCGAGTTATCTAGGTCATCGAATGAAAAAAATCAGTCTCAACAGTAAACGACATTATAAAGTGAGAGTGGTTTTCTTCATGGTCCGATCTTATGCAATACTCATTGCATAAGACGTCTCCACTCACATGTCTCCACATGTACAATTTAGTGATCACATTGTTTATATCATATACAAAAGTGGGCACATCCATAGTGTCCCCAAAATAAAGTACTCAGCCTTGTCCCTGTACTATAGATCATTTTGACTATATACTTGAGCTTGATCCACTCTTATGTCTCTATATATAGTTTAAGTAATCATACTATAGCCAGA